GTGATATAAGATGCGAGGATTAAAATTACGTATAATGTGAACAAATTAAGAACAATATGGAGACGAAGTTGGATACGAGAACCAGGGTCCGGATACAATTTACTTGTGTTTCTAATTTTTCAATCTAACAATTTTCAAAGATTAAAGAAATATTAGAGACATATTTGAATACTTATATAAAATATAATACATTTAATATTACGCAGTTTTCAGATTCATAATACAGGTTTTGATTCGAATTGTATAATATTAAGATTATTGTAGTTTATACAAGCATTATAATATTTCTCAATTTGGAGATTCATAATACAGGTTCTAATTCAAATTGTCATGTTTCAAAGACTTCACTGTAATGTTTCTCGAATTTTGCAAAATTTTTACGTTATACAATACATCTAATACGCTCGTTATAGAAGCAAATTGCATTGGAATAATGGTAAATTAAAAACATTATGTTTCGTTGCTCTTTACAGTCGTGACCTCGCTATATTCGCGTTCATTATAACAGAGTTCGACTACATAAGTATCGAATTAAAATGCGACAACTGAGCGTTCGATGATTCGGACTAGGAAGTCGACAGCGTCGAATAAAGATTTCCCGATACGACTAATAAGCGTAGTATTAAAATACAAGAGACGTATCTTGAAGAATTCATTCATTGACTTTCATTTAATTTCGTGCATAAGCGTTTTCGACGAAATACAGGTCATTCTCATACTTAAAGAAAATTTATAATTATATAAACACAACAATGTTTAATAAACCTACGTTGTAAATTAATAAATTGTAGTAAATTATGCAAACAACATACGCTTTCTAAATTGAAACGAATACTCTTTGTCCTTTCTCTTTTTATTGAAAAAGGAAAACGTTGATTTGTATCATATACATAGTGTTCGGCCACCTCTAGGAAAAATTTTAATGGGAAATTCTAGAGGCCAAAATAAGACGAAAATCAAGAATATCAATTTGTTGATTGAGACTTGAGAAAAAAATTCAGGAATTAAAAAATTTCAAATCGTTCTGGAAAAATTACTTTTGGTTGCAGGGGTCAATTATGATCATTTTTGGTGAATACACATACCCCCGAAATCTTATATACTTTCAAGAAAAAAATTCTTTACCGAAATTATGCTAATGGCCGGAAATGTTTCTATAACTTTTTAATTTAGTCTCGATCAACAAATTAGTATCCTTGATTGTCGTCTTATTTTGGCCTCTAGAATCTCCCATTAACATTTCTCCCAGGGGTGGCCGAACACCCTGTATATAGAATAGTTGATCGTAAATTATTTACGACGTAAGGTGCATGAATCGTTTAAAAGTTATTTAGTTATACGAGCAAAATTTTATTTTCAATTAATATGGCGAAATTTCAGTTATAGGTATAGGTAATCCTTAAAGGTTGGAAAATTATTAATAGTCTAAAAACGAATGTGTTCTTATATCAAAAAGTTTGTGTGTTTATATTAAAAGTTTCTTATATCAAAAAACATTAAATTTATTATCACTAATGCAGTTCGGACCCATTTGAAAGTGTTGGATATTGGATGAAATCGAACGTGGTTTGACGATTAATGAAACGATTAAGTCATGAAAACTGATTCGGTCTTGCGTTCGTCATCCGTGCGTCAACTCTATCGATCGCCAGACGATCGAAGACGATCAAAGGAACTGGATAGGCTCAACCGTATAGACATGTGGGCAGCTCAGGTCACTCTGATCTCGTGGGAACTGGTCGTGATTAGTCTACGTCAATAGCAACGCTAGTTATGCTAATTGCGCGAAAGCACTTCGGCCTGCTACTAGCATCGAGCGCTGCCGGAGATAAGCTAGGTACGAAGGTAGTACCTTTGGCTATCGATTTATCGAACTCACTCCCTCGGAGGGATTTCAGATCGGGCGCGCGATCACTGAGCTACGATAGCTCCGACTGCAATGCGCGAATTCCTTTCGACAACTCGTTTACTATGACGAATTTCTGCTCTTTCGTCAGTGTTTAGGTTTTCCAATTGTTTTCATTAATTCTAACGTTATTTTGTTTAACATATTGACTGCTAAACCCCTCAAATTACCCACGAAACCAAATCTTTGGAAATTGGAAATTAGCTACAATTTGTCGTAGAATTTATTGGGTTGGGGAATAAGTTCGTAGCGTTTTTATCAAAGAAAACATACAGGCTCCCAATTTTTCGGTAAATCCCATTAAATGAAGATGATTGAGAATCGTTTTATGATCGCAGTTCATTTTTTCGGCCAATTCACGACTTGTTTGGCGACCGTCCTCTTTCAAAAGTGCTTTGAGACACTCTTCGTCGAATTCAGAAGGTCTTCCGCTGTGGGGCGTGTCGTCGACGTCAAAATCACCATTTTTAAACTTTGCAAACCATTTCCGTGCTGTAGACTCGCCTATGACACCTTCTCCGTATACGTTGCAAATGTCCCGGGCTGCTTCAGCAGCTTTTTGACCTCAATGAAAAGCGAAGAAGAGCAGGTGTCGAAAATGTTGCTTTTTACCTCCTGGATATTCCATTTCTAAGTGTCAAAAGTAATAAAAAATTAATTTACTCAAAAAGACGATTAGCACAGTTTTGTAGAGCAGAAAGAGCTCTATCGAATGAATATTATACACTTTGTCAAACAGCAAAAAATCGTTGCAAAACAAAAGAAAATATAAAAACGCTACGAACTTATTCCCCAACCCAATAGATCAGAATTCATAATGTGCTAAAACTGATTCGTTGATTTTTCTACTAATTGAAACCTTGAAAAATACTCAATAATTAATTTCCTTAATCTTTCTGTACATTAGAATCATTATTTTCAATTTGCTTAAGAGGGAACACTAATGCGATACGTCAAAAAAGGAACGCGTTGCCTTCAGATATTAACCCTGCTGCGTTCTTCGATTCAACTACATACATGTATAGTCTTCAGGACAAAATTGTCCTAAATGTGAGGAATTAGTATTTTCAATTTATTTTTACAGCCTCGTTAAAATTCAAGATTTATTTTCTTTAACATCTAGTCTTGAGAATTATTTTAGTGAAAGGTTCTATAAATGGGTGGCGTGGCAATCATCGTATTAATTTATCTTATTGATTTGGGGGTTTAGAGCAGTGTTTTCCAATTGGGTGAGTATGTTACAAGCACTTTTTTTATGTCATAAGTTTGATAAAAGAAGAAATGCTGCTATAAAAAAAATTAAACTTTTAACTAATATTGACTCATGATATTATAATGAATATTTATTATTGGGAAATTCAATCTCTAACTGGTATGATATATTTATAAATCGTAACTAATATCGTGGGGTTTTATTAAAAAATAAAAAGTGTCTTTCTTTCTAGATATTTTCATTGTAAGCGTTTGGTTATACAATAAATCATAATAAAAATATTTGTCTTGGAGCAATGTATAATAATAGAACATAATAGGACCATTCTAAAGTTTAAAGTCTGAGGTTAGGAGAATACATAAAATAATACAACACAATGTTAATTAGAAATACATTATTTTCATAAAACTGTAATTCATGAAAGCTTGTGCTAGGTCTCTAAAAATTCACCACAATACAAGCTAAAGATTAATTATGATTTCGTCACAATTGTAATGATGATTTCTATATTACACTGTTTAAAATAAGTTAAGGAAATTTGGACTGTGATATGTGAGTAAGAATAGTCTAATTAAATCAATAATTATTTTTCACACTATTTAGTATTCTGTCTGTGAAGTCATACTTTGTTGTAATGTTTATTTTTTCTTTCATTCTATATGTTATCAGAAATAATTTAAAAACTAAAGAGTTTATTTATAAAGTAACCGTAATACTTTCTGATTTTTCTTTATATTACATATAAGGTTTTATCTTGTATAGTCAGACATGGTTGAAAACCGTAGCTAAATCATCATTTAGGCACGAGTAACAATTCTCGAAGCGATCGTAAAGCGGGGATTATATAAATAATACTAATAGAACTTTAATATTATCATCTTGTAATAACGCAATGGCGTATAATGCATGTAATAATATACTGCGTAGATGTGGAAGAGTTTTTCGAGTTTTTGCTATGACCGTGATGTCTAGGTAACGAGGATTCTAGGAATGTACGTGCTTCAGAATGGTTGAGTGCTAGCAATGAGTGTACATGTGTGCACGCGTGTGGTGGTAAGTGCGTTCTTGAGAGCAACCAGTGCGTTATGAGAGCGAAGTGCAGTAAGTACAGCGAGTTGAGAGTGCATCAAGAGAGTTTTCAGAGAAGGGACCGGTGAGAGATTGTTGAAGTGGTCTAACGATAAGTGTAAAGAGGGTAATTACTCGTTATTGTCGTATTACATTTAATATTAAAATTTATAGACCACCCAACAGTACCTTCTGCGATTATATTATAAGTATAATACTCAATATTGTGATGCAAAGAAAGGAATCGTTGCTCGTTTTTTTTCGAGTTGAGATGGGTTGAGATGGGTTGAGATGGTAGAGTTTCGATTCATCGTTTGTTATTTGAACAAAATTTTTCCCATTTCTATATTCGAGGCATAAAAATGTTTCCAATTTCTTTTTCATTTAGTAGACTCAACAACGTGTTTCCTATATTTAGACACGACTTGATTGACCTATTTGTGAATATCTTTTGCCCGTTATTTTAAAATGGCGACGAGTACTCAAGGCGTTTCTTTCAACCATGTTTGGTTAGATGAAAAAATTCTTAGTAGGAGATTATTGATAATAAATGTTAAATTGAGAATGTATTTCGGTTCCTTCGTCCCTCTAATATTATACAAAAATATTCCATTATTCAAAGAACGCACTATAAGCACCAAACGACTATGAATACATTGTCGAAGAATCGAAAGTTCGCGACGCGAGGTTCGTACGATATATTTGCTGTCCGGATAATTGGCGTTCTACTATATTGCCTCGAAGGATAATTTCTTGAAAAATGTGTTGTACCTGTCGCGCATTAACTAACGATCGCGTTTGTTCTTGTTTCAGGCGGCGGGACCGCCGGTGCAGCTGGAACCAGTGGACCTGTCCGTGAAAACTCCTGTGGTGTTGCAGGTGCCTCGGTACAGTCCAGCGGCTATAATTACCGCCGCGGCTAGAAGAATCCCTTCACCTTCGACGACGCCCACGCCACCGCCGCTCTCCATATCTACCGGTGAGTGAACGAAATTTAACGATGCATGCATTTATCCGCGGGATTGCCTTGTTCGTTTTTCATCGTAAATCGAAAGTCTGCGAACCGGAATTTTATATTTCGAGCCACAGATGGGGAACATTTTATTCGAGTAACAAATAAAACGTTTACTCGATAAATCAAGTTTCGGTTGTTATGGAATATTCTGCTGAATAATTTGCTCTATAATTCAAGTTGTAATTTTTATTTTGTTCGTCTTTTATTCTGTATACAAAATTTCTATCTAGCTGAGAATTCTGTCCATCTCTGTTTCAATCAAGATGGTTTCCTGGGTTTGTGTGGGGTTATCCAAATTGACTGTCACATCTTTCAACAGGTTGGAATAATGGGCTAAATGGTTTGATTATTCTTCGTTATATTTTACAAACGTCATCCCTAAACATAAAGAAATCGTCATGGAAGGCTACACTGTGCAACAACGTGTACAAATTGTCGAAAACTTACAAATATTCAACTTCTGTTCGAGCATGTGTTAGACTTTTTCCTATGGGTTTTTTTAAAAATTAAAGTTTATGTCAATAAACGACAAACGATTGACGAGCTAAGCAACAATGTTATAGCCGTCATTAATGAAATAGAATCCCAATTATGTAATAGTGTAATAGAAAATTGTACAAAACGAGTCGGGCTCGTGAAATGAAGGCGATCATTTGAATGATATTGTGTTCCACGATTAATGTTATGAAGTGGACTATATATTAAAATAAGGGAACCTGAAATATCTCAAATAGTTTGTGTTTTATTTCAATTTAAAGATGTGACATTCAATTTGGATAATCCTATGTATATAACACGTGTATATACTAGGTCACGTGTATGAGACTTATGGGTAAATTCTGAGACGAATGGACAAATCGTTATGTGACTTAGGCTAAGCGTAGCTTCAGGGACAATCCTGGAAGGCATGAAAAGGGTAATAAAAAAGAAATCTATGGCGAAATCCAGGTCTCCTGGAAAAGTCCTTGACGACAAGCTAGGCCCTTTGCGTATGCCCATATTTGGACATAGAAAATACAGAGTTATTCCTACTCGTTGTTACGAATAGTTGTTATAAGTCATTGTCAGTCTATCTTACATCCAACCACACTTAACAATATATACATGTATTAAATTTATTAATATTTATATTTCAATGATGACGAGATTAAAACTATTGAATATAATAAAATTTAGAATAATTTTATTTATTATTTCAGAATTATTATTTTTTATTTCTTTATTTTGAACTTATTTTCATAGATGTATTTCTCCTAATATTGAAACTGGTAATATATGACCTCCTAAAAATATTTTAATATTTAATCCTTATGATATTCCATTATTAAATTCAATTATTTTAGTTTCTTCAGGATTTGTTATTGCATGAAGACATAATCTAATATTAAATAATAAATTAAAATGTAGTAAATTTAGATTATTAATTACAATTATTTTAGGAATCTATTTTTCAATAATACAATATTTAGAATATAATGATGCTAAATTTTGTATTAATGATGGAATTTTTGGATCAATTTTTTATTTATTAGTTGGATTTCATGGAATTCATGTTATTATTGAAATTATGTTTTTAATAACATGTTTATTGCGAATATCAATTAAGCATTTTTCTAAAATTCATCATTTCCATTTTGAATCATCATCATGATATTGACATTTTGTAGATATTATTTGATTATTTGTTTATATATTTGTTTATTGATGAATATATTAAATTAAATTATATATATAGTATAAAATTATTACAATTCATTTCCAATTAAACAACTTATTATAAATAATATATATAATTTATAATCATTTCATTATTAATAAATTCCCATTAGTAATTACCCTATATGTATTACATGCTCGAATCGATGCAAATAAAAAAGAAGCAAATTGCGATTCCACTAATTTCGTAGGTATACAGGGTGTTCGGCCACCCCTGGGAAAAAATTATAATGGGAGATTCTAGAGGCAAAAATAAGACGAAAATCAAGAATACCAATTTGTTGGTTGAGGCTTCGTTAAAAAGTTATTAACGTTTAAAGTTCCGCCTGTAGAACGGCAATCTGCGAATAGCTGTGTGCGCGTGTTAGTGATTCTCACTCAGAAAACTGTAAGGCTGTCCATATGTCACAAAGTAGAGTTTCTCATGCTGAGTGAGAACCACTATCGCGCGCACGCAGCTGTACGCAAGTTGACTATCTACAGGCGCAACTATAAACGTTAATACCTTGTTAACGAAGCCTCCATCAACAAATTAGTATTCTTGATTTTCGTCATATTTTGGCCTGTAGAATCCCCCATTAAAATTTTTCCCAGAGGTGGTCGAACACCCTGTATAGTCGCATTTATACAAAAAATGAAGGAGCAGGAAAATAGACACTATTATGCCATTCACCCTTTACCAAAATTCAAGATACAACACTCTCCAAATACGTGACTTGTCTCATATATATATATGAAAATACGAAGTCGATTAGATTGAAAAATAAATTTTCTCTTTCTGACAAATGGTAAAACTGGATGTTCCCTGTTTTCTATCCGTCCTTCGTAACAGGAAATGAAATGTACAATCGCAAGATCGGTTGAGACTGAAGGGCTGAAAATAAAACAATTCGTTAATTCAATCAGCTTTCTCGTCGCACGAGTTTCTCCAAGGAGGAAGATCTCCATGCGCGTTTAACGCCCGGTCGCGATAACCGCGAGTAGAAGGTGCATTCGAGAGGCGCGCTTAAAATTCCACCATTCGTAAGACCGTACAATTCTACGTTATGAACTGAAGGGAAACCGCCTATCGGCTATTGCTCGTTTCTACATGTGTTTATATACGCGTAGAGCGCACACGCGGGCAATGGTGCGTCTTTGCGAACGTCGGTCCATGCAAGTGCATGCGGATGCACGCAGACGCTCGCATCGCAGAATACCGTGGCTCGAAAGTGGCTGGACGCTCGCTTATGGGTAAACTCGAGGAGATCTCCGGCGATTGCGTTGCTTTATGGGTTAATTATGTTCGATTTTTTTCAACGTGCCACTCGCGGAGAGCCTGCCTGGCTTTGGCTATTCTATGGAAAACCAATGCGCGTCGTCGCAACGCCGGACTCGGTTACGTCCTTGCCTCGCCGGCGTCCAGCGATTAGGTACACGATCCGTACGCGACGTCTTTAAACTTTTCCTCGTACTTTGGAGGAAGTTGTCTTTCGCGACACGTTTTCATATTTGGGTTAAGCTAGACTCGGAGCGGCACAACGAACAGTAATGATTCTTAAAATGAGCCGTGATTCGTAAGTTGATGGGCCTTCGCCAAGTTTTAAAAATTCAAACTTAAACCAAATTTAGGATTTATGATCTTATTAATCGTTGAGAGAAGTGTAAATAGAATTGGATTAACCATTAATTTATATGATGCAAAAAAATACCAGATGTTCCGTTTTCGGTGAAGCTGATGTGTTCGGTGCAATATAGCAATAATTCTTAAAATGAACCCCAAACGTGATTCGTACGTTGAACATTTCTATCCCTCAATGACATCGGTGTATAAATGTCTGATGGTGTCGAGTTTCACTTCCTCTGTGCGATAGATGAACATGCTGACCCTGGAGCGATGTTCATTTTATGAATCATTACTGTAACCCAGCAGACCAGAATTCATAATGTGCTAAAACTGATACGTTTTACTACTAATTGAAACCTTGAAAAATACTCAATAATTAATTTTCTTAATCTTTCTGTACGTTAGAATCATTGTTTTCAATTTGCATAAGAGAGAACCTTAATGCGATACGTCAAAAAAGGAACGCGATGCCTTCAGCTATTAATCCTGCTGCGTCCCTCGATTCAACTATATAGTTAAGGTCTAAATGTGAGGAATTAGTATTTTCAGTTTTGTTATTTAACTAAAAGATGAAAGAAGTATACATATAAGTATGCTATTATACTTTTTATATCTAATGTTGAAAAAAGATGCTATATTATATTTAAATTATATACAACAATAATGAACATAAACAACTGTATTCATGATACTTTGGATACATTTTTTTTAGAACAAATTCTTAGTGAGACACGATTGCGTTAGGAAAAAAATATTCCAAAGACCGCAGCAGGGTTAAGAGACAATGTACCATGACTTCCGATTGATATTTGGTTAGACTAATTGGTCATCAAAGTAACTGTTCTCGTGAGACGTGAAAAAAAAGTTTATCTAGCGTTCGTATCGAATGTTAAGAGACCCAATCGTTCCTTCCACGAGATTTGGAATCTACGCCAGGTATCTTCGATCCTCCGTGCGTACAACGTTCTCCCGAGAAAAAAGAGGAAATTACACCGATACCGTGCAACGGACAGAAACACTGTAACGGAAAAAAACTAATTCCTGAAATAATCTTAAAAGACCTTAATGGCCACGAGAGAGAACTACCAGTTTCATAGGTGCACGGGTAAAAAGTCGTTTCTCGCGTAAAGTACCGTGCAACACGGTACGCTTAAGTGTTCGAACCGCGAAATCGCCCGGTTGGGGGCACACGGGCCACGCCCCTTTTTTATTGCCGGAATCACGACGAAGGGAATGAAAAAAGCGGCAAAAAGAAATGCGAGGAACAGAGACGCGAGCAGCGTGCCGCGCTCCTGGCCAGCATTTGGACCCGCATTCACTTCCATTTCTGGATTAATGACCACGCACACCTGCGCAAAGCAGTATCCGAATGCGATTGGGGTCGCAACCCGTAGTCCTTGCCCCGGGGCATCGTTGTCGTATAGTCACCAGGCTCGTCGCGAGCCGTGTTCGTCGCTCGAAACGCTGAGAATATTTTTCTGTTGCGAATCGCCGTTTGCACGCCGGGAATAGGCAATTTCTGCAGCGGAAGGCGCGACCTGGACCTCCATCTCGATAACTTGCCGTTCGAAACGCGGCAGGATGAATTCTACAACGATTCCGAATGAAATTTTTTCGGTACTGTAATGCTCGGTTAACTGAA